ATTACAAATAAATAAAAGTAATAACATTTTTGAATGCTTATGTGTGCCGTGTTTTATTCGGATTTTTCGATTATCTGTAATGAGCTTAGTTTTGTGGTGAACTTATCCAAGCACAAACATTTCCTTATTTTCGGTCTACTTTCGATTTTACAAAATAGACACATACAAAGGCATAAAATTACATTTTATGTCTTATTTCTTCGAATAAAAAAAAAACATGCTACTAATTTCTCATACTTGCTTATGTTTGATATGATGTCCAGATTTCTGCGTTCTACTTGTTGTTAGACACCGAATCTAAACTTCATAGGTCCAGCGGTAATCATTCTCACATTAAGTAAATCGATTTTCAAAAACCGTCATTCAAGCCGCAATATATCTCAAAACGGTCAGCCTATTTGAAAATTGTTTAAATAAGTGATTGACTGATTGACAATCTCGGCAATCTTGACAGCTTAAGCTGATATTGTTGACACCATATTTTCATACGAAAGTTATTTAACATATTTGCATTTGCTTTTGGGCAAATCCGCTTAACGTATACGTAATATTTTCCTGGTACCACCAATTAATACCAGTTTTTATATATTAACTTACCACAATTCGCACGCAGTATTTAAAGGGATATACAGCTGCTACCTTTCACTCTTATTCTTGTTACGTATGCATGCGTTTGCTGAGCAACAATTTGTCGTCAAATCGGTCTAAATTTGTATGTAATTTTAAACCGAAAAGCAATTAGCTTTTCCGCTTCTTTGTTTTGTATACCAAAGCGACAATTACTGTGCTATGGCTATTTTGTTACTAGAGAGCAACATTTAAATATTCAAAGAGGTTGCAGAACAAACTACAATATAAACACTCGCGCGCCAACTGCACAAATGTTCTCAAGCGAATGAGCTCGAGCGGACCGCAAAATTGGGAAATTCGTAAAACCGCAACACATGCGAATTGGCCCCAAGCTATGAATACGTTTTAATGTGTCCGAAATGGTCGCTTGTTAATTTTTTGTTGGCCTGTTTGCTTGTTTGTTTGCCGCTCTCAGGTGCGACGACGCGTCGCGTGGCTTGCCAACTTCAATTCCAAACTGACCGCAAAACATTTTCACTTTGGACTTTATGTCGAGACGTTCCCGACCACCACAACGTTGACTGCGACAGCGACGACGACGACGACGTTGACAGCAAAGGCGACGGCGATGGCGACGACGACTTTGACGCAAGCAGCTAAAATAATAACAATAAACACACAGCTCGTAAAAGTCCAAAAACGTGAATTCAAAGCGTCCAAGTCAATGCAAGTATTAGGTGTGAGGCACAAATATGTGCTCGAGTACTATACGAGTATGTATATCCTATCGATGTGTGTTCTAGCTCTCCTGTTACAGCAGCTATTGTTGCTATTATTACTATTGTTGCTGTTGTGCTAATTTGTGTTTGCGGCTTTTGAACAGCCACCCAGCCAGCTAGCCAGCCAGCTAGCCAGCGGGCCAGCCAGTCATGGGCAAATCCAACACAGAGCAACAGCAACAACGCACATTTGAATGCATGAAAAGGGCAAATGAATGCCGCTTTAGTTGCTTGTTGTTTTTGTTGTTGCTGCTACTGCGGCTGTCGGTCAGCACGAAAAATGAAGTTGACCTGCTTTTTTGCCGTCGCGCTTTAAGTCGGCTAACGCGTCCTAAACTGGGACACAACAAATTTACATAGGCGCAGGCAAGAAATTATGCATGGCACTGTTGATATTGAAATGCCGCCAAGTTGAACTCGACAATCCAACACCTGCCGCGGCCCTAGCCGCCACGCCTCCCATTTGCCCACCTGCTCAGAGTTTCACTTTCGTTGAAGTCACCCGCCATTAGCAAGCGATAAACACGTAAGGCAGGTAAGGCAGCATGTAAAAATAAAGAAGGCAGACTCTTGGGTTGATGGTCGGTCAAAGGCTAAAAAAAAAGAATATGGCCCAAGCAGCTCCAGCTGGAAAGGACAATAGCAGCAGAGCAGCAACAGCGCAGCGACGTCAGTATGCAAATGTTACCATTAAGACAACCTGCCACAGCATACCCGATTTGTATACCCTACCTATTTAGAAAATACATTCTGTTTAAGAAAAAGTCATGGGGGCCGCAAGCTATATGAATATTAATATTAAATGAATACGAATTGATTTTTTAAAGAAAAACTAAATATAACAAGAAAAATATTATAGTCACGCAAGCCTGAAAATGAAAAACCCTCGAACCCTAGCAATTCTGTTATTTGCGTTGTTATATAGATCCGCCCATATAACTCAAGTCAAAATAATAAAAACGTTTTTCAGCTAAGGGAATAGTGCTGTTTTTCAATTGTTTCCGTAATAGCTTTATATAGGTATAATAAATAAGAAACAAAGCAAAACTACAAAGGTACGTCTTCCTTATTATATTAATTGAAACGAAAGAATTTCCCAAATCACGAGATATGTCGAGATCAAATCCTGATCGGATTATCATTTGCACTTTAACTTAATGTACCTGATGCACCTCTTATTGCAGACATTTTTTGCAAAGGAGCTTATTTTCCATTTCAATATTGTATCTATGAAAATAGTTAGAGTTTTAAATAAGTAATACGGACCATGTAGAGAGTGCTATATAATCTTTAAGGTGCAAGTTTTCAGACTTCATTCGCTGCCACAGTCGACGCGAAGTAGCAGGAAGTCGTTACAGAGGGCGCACAGCAAAAAGAACCAACCATTAAGGCGGCAAAGAGCGAACCTTATGCAGTGCAGGTTTAGTGGGTCAAATGTTAGCGGTAACATAACATAACATACTTGAAAATATACGGCGAACTCGGAACTGTGCCACTAGTCAGGCGTATATAAAGTCCACACACAGCCCCCCCTGCAACTCCAACTATTCCAACACTCTGCTTACTTTGCTTTGACCACGAATAAATCAGTGAGCAACAAGAACTTGGCACAAATCCATTAACACTCACATTTTTTCATTGTTTGCCTTCGCTTGCTGTCGTTTAAGTAATTCGCATGCATAACACACATAACTGGGATCTATTTAGGTGCTCTTGGCCAACATGCAATGCACTCAACTCTTCTTTTGCAAACAAAATGTCATTTTAATAAATTCATTACTAAGGCACTTTATGGCCATGCCACACCCAAGTGCAACACTCACTCACTATGCATTGGTTTGCTTGCAATGTGGCATTACGTATACGCCCCGTACATTTATGAACAATCAACTTTATGGCCACACTGTCTGCGTCTTGTGTACACTTAACTCTGTTTTGGATTTGGAGAGTATGTGGAAATGTCTGCGCTATTTATTTTTATTGGCATTTGCGCTTGTCCTTAACATTTTCTAGATATTTTTAAATCGAAGTTATGGGACTGTTTAGTATGTTGTTTACCTCATCTCACTGGTGCTAAAAGGATTTATGTATCGGTGTGGACTTAAATGTGTTACTAGCTATTGAAAAACTTTGTAAAAGTCACAATGGAATCAACTCGGTGCAAAATTAGGGGTGTATTCTTTATAAATTGGCAATGTGTTAACTAAATAATAGTTTAATTATTATAGTGATACAATTATTAAGCTTTCTATGGATTATTTTTTATTTCAATTGCCTTAGAAAGAATATATATCGTTTGCAATCGATTTAATTAATGATTGCTGGCGTTAAACATTAAAAGGACATGTAGTTCTCAATGCTCTTAACTAACATATTGGAAACCGTCGGCGTGATAAGTAATATTCGTAAATAATGCCACCCATTACTACTACTTCTTTGTATACCGTGTTCTATGCAGACTCCCAAAAAACCAATGAAAAATTTAGTTTGGAAAAATAAAAAATAAGGATAACAGATATCGACGTATTTAGCTATTAAACTATTCTAGAATGTGTCTAGAAAAAAACTTGTTCCAAATTAGTTTAAATCAGCAGCCACTTGGGCTTTTTATTTGCGAGTCCGAACCGCATCTGATCTTGGAAGTTGCGGAATCAGTAACCATCTTATTCTGGCAGCGGGCTAAATGATATAGTGTGAATACATTTTCTAGAGTTTCTGAAACTAAAATATTTATCATCATGCCAGTATATTTCCTATCTTAGCACTGCAAATCTTCCGCTGCCATATTGTGTCAAGTTCATAGCAATCCGCACTAAGCTTTGGGCCACGCCTCCGCATAATGGCGCATTAAATTAAATTTATTTGAAAGCCACAACTATGTTGTAGCTCAATGTAATTGCCCATTTGGGTATCGACCACAAATATGCGACACGCACTTCGCTATCAACTTACATAATTTTTGGCAATCAGCGCTCAAGGTCAGCACCACAGCACCACCCCACACCACTCACTCACGCACGCATACAAAACAAATTTGTGGGACATTTAAAAATGTGTTAGCTGAACAAAACAAACGACACGACAAACTAAAATTTTGCGATTAAATCTTGAAGCGAAATAAATTATTGCGCACATCGGAACGGGCTGACCCAGATAAAAGCGAAATGGCAACGACGGCGGCGATGAACAATTGTCGAGTAGAGGACGAGGGACATCAGGCTACCATTGCCAGCTGATTATCGCTAATTGTGCCCAAGGAAATAGAAATTAAACGACCGGCCGCTGGTTGGTTGGTTGGGGCCAATGAAACATTTTGATGTGGTCCGAACGCCTGCTTTCAAATTAATTTAGGGTACGCTTTTTTGCTTTTGTAAATCTTTGTCAAGCTCATGCGCTGCAATTTCTTTCATCGATAATTGAGTGCGCCCCAGGGTCAAGTGATGAAGAGCGACAAGAAATAATGGATTCGGAAATATTGAGGTAGGCACCGACCTCTCGCCCAACTATACGTACAAACCCAGATTGGCATTCACTGGAATTGTGTCAACCTCAGGCTGGCTAACCAACAGGCCTTGAAAACGCACTCAATTTGGCATACCCAATACAAAAGTCAGTATACATATTTATTTCAGTACCAGTTGCTGCCTGAAAAGGTTAACAAAATTTTGGTTTAACGAAAAATGATCGGTTTGGATAAAAGGGTCGGAGCTAAACAATACGTAGTGCCCAATAACTCTGCTATGACTCTTCAGCAAAAGCCGGTTGGGATCGACTTCGTCGCCAATATGACCGAGAATAAGTGCGATGAGTCGAAGACCAACAGATGTAAGCACTGCGAGAACATGGCCAAGAACTTTCTATATTTAGAGAGTCTGATACGAAACAACTTGGACAAGAAACAGGAATGCACCTTATGCAACTCGTCGCTGAAATTTCTCCAGTACGTCAATCGCAACATCATGTCGGTCTTTGGAAACTTTGACACGATCGTGCAGGCAGCTAAAGCCTTTGCCACCCAAGCGCCCATCCTACCCAAGTACTCAGTCAGGCCGCCGCAGCCAAAGCCGACACCGACTCGTGCAAAAGGTGGTGCGACTAACTCTGAGCAAAAGGCGAAAAAATCTAACAAACCCAAGACTAATAAATCGAAAAAGTCTGTAAAGGCGTCAAAGTCCGGAAAGAGTCTACGCAAAAGCAAGTCCAAATCGGGCACCAAAAAACGAAGCTCTGGCGGCGGCATTACCCCCGGCAGCAAAATGATGCTGAAGAACAAGTACAGATCCAAGACGGCCCAATTGAGCAAGCAGCTGAGCAAGGTGGTGCGTAGCGCCAGTCAATATCAAAACTTGCGGGCAATGCGCTCCAAATTGGCCAACAAGGCTAAAAAGCAGAAGAAACAGGTAAATAAAACCAGTCCATCTATACCCTGGGGCTTGCTGAAGAAAAATATGCCAAAGCGCAAGACAACAGCCACTAACTAGTGACAATAACTGTTCACTGAGGAGTCTTGGCTAGCAGAGAAGTACCAAAAAACAGATGGGCGACAAATTCAAACACACATACAATATATATTTGTTAACTAAATTCTCAGTGATATGAAACATCAAAGAAAACAGATAATAAAAATAAAGACGTTCATTTAATTCAGAATCAATTGATTGAAACCCATTCCCTCATACTCCCCACTAAACACTAATTTCTTGAAAGGCATGACGACTCGTCGCCTGGATTTCTGAATATCTTTCATTCCCATCATCCACTTCACTATTAATTATACTACTAACAATTCAAATTCTTTAAGTACACCACCAAAAACCATTAAACTTTAACATGTGGACAGCTGTATTATCGATCCAGCCCCATCGCTTACCTTAATGGACGACAAATATATGAAACGGTAGAGCACGTTCGTCTAGTATTTTATAGTAATTTCGCACAACTTTCGCTATTAGTCGGAGGTATTGGAAGCATCTAAGAAGAATCTAAGAAACAGAAAAATAGGGACATGGAGCGAAAAGTTATTTTGTACCAAAACGAAACATCAAAACCCAACTTTTAGTATTAAGTATGTAAATAGCTCGAAAAAATAGATAAAGTATTTCAATACAAATAATTTTGACCTTAGGAGAATATTATGTTGAGAAACATTTAAAATGTTATACGATCAAGTGCCGCTTATACCTAGGATTTATTTATTTTTGTTTGTTTGTTTATTAATTCCTAGTACCTACTTAACCTACTACTTACCTACTACGAGTCGATCTAGCGCTGTCTGTCTGTCTGTCTGTCCGTCCGTATGATCACCTAGATCTCAGAGACTATAAGAGCTAGAGACACCAAATTTTACACAAAGATGCCTCCCCCACTTCCCCCCTATGGGGGTTTTCCCGATTTTCCATTCGTATAATCGCCTATATCTCGGAGACTATGAGACCTAGGAACACCAAATTTTAGTCCAAGATGCCTTGTGTAAATACGCAGAAAATGTATATTTTTGAATTTCCCTCCCTCCCCCTCTCCCCCGTAATTGCGATTTTCTCTAACTCCCGTAATTCTTGGAATTTCGAACTAAAATTTAGCAAATACCCCCAGTTAGTTGTTGTGTGTCCGTTTCGCTATGATAGACCGATTTAACAAGAATTTATATCCATAATAATATAATATATTTGCTGTTGCAGCGCTGCTCAAGCGCTGCCCGCGGCTTAGTGCACTATAAGTTCTTCCTACTGCATTATTAAAGTGATTATGCCAGGATAGAGTCTCATTGAGGGTTATCCCTAAATTGTTTGCCTTCTTTACGTAATCGATATGCTCATTGCTGAGTTTCAATTTATCTAGATTGAGTGGGTTAATTTTCTTTTTATATAATACCAAGCATTTATATTTTTTGCGGATTTAACTATAGACCATTCATTCTCGCCCATTCACTGATCTATAACAGATCGTCATTACAGACACTAACACATTCTTTTATTCTATTTAACGGACGACTAACATATAGCTGGACATCATCTGCGTACAAGTGAATCTCGCAATTTGTGGGACACCACGTTTTATTGACATAAAAGACGAAAAACTACACGAGGTGACAACTGCTTGATGGAGCTTATTGCGGAGTCAGAGAAGTTGAAGAGTCTTTTTAGTTTTGTGCAAAGTATGGTATGCTTTACCGTGTCAAAAGCTTTAGAATAGTCAAGAAGTGTAAGAAAAGTTACCATACTGTTGTCGACTTTTTTGCGAATGCCCTCTGTACATTTTAACAGTGATGTTATACAGCTTCCCGATTGTTTGTCAGTTAATAATGAGTTTCCTACCAAGAAGTTAGTAATGTGGTTGGCCATTAGCTGTTCAAATGCTTTCGACAGAAATGGTAGAATGGAAATTGGCCGAAAATCATTGTCTCCCTTATTTTATAGTACTAAACAGAAATCAAGTACGGATCTAATTCAATGAAAGCTGCGCAAACAACAGCAGCTATTCCAGTGCATTGCTTACCTCGAGATAAATTAAATCGTAAATGGTAATTTTAATTAATTAACAAGGTTATACCTTGACATTTAAAGTGCCATAATGCTTCGCGGATGATTTGGAAGTAACAGCATCCTGTTCAAGAATAGAATTTTCATTGATTTGGATAAAATAAGGTATGTTTAAGGTAGTTTTAAAATTCTGTAAAAAAGGTTGTTGGAAATAAACAAAAATATTGTTCGATTCCGTCTTTGCATATCCACGACAATTTAAATTTAGAACTTATATGATTTTCACATAGATGCCATTGTCAGAGCTGGACCAAATTGAAATAAAAAAGAATCATTAACATCGGTTCACCCAGTCTGATTTAGAAGCTCCTTCTTTTTGTGAAGTCGGTTAAACATCGAATGCTTTGTTTGCGTTGCTACTTTAAACAAACAATGCTTGGAGCAGAAGCTCAAGTTTATATTTTTTAAACAACTTTCAAATCAACCCAGAATTAGGTCGTGCAGTATTACTGCAGTCACCTAATCAATCCATCCATTAAGAAGACCACAGTAGCGCCAACTTTAACCGCCAGTCCAGTACTATACACAAAATGGCTGACGAGGGAGAAAAGAAAAAAGAAGTGGTAAGCTCTATTGTTATCAACAACAACAAATTGGCCGAAATTTAATTCGAATGCGTATAGGTCGACAATAGGCCGGAATTCTTTTGGAATTATATAAGCAAAACTATGCGTCTGAAACAGGAGAAATGGACCAAAATGATTACCACCAATGAGTTCAAGGTAAGTGCTCCACTTCTGGCATCATTGGACAACGGGAGGTGGCAGGCAGTGGGGTACGATTGCGACAATGTGTAGTCCGAGCGGCCTTGCCGTCCCTTTTTATTTAGTACCATGGGCCTGCGGCGCATTTCACGCCAACGCCCCCCATGTTTGCCATGGCCACATATTTTTTTACTCATCTTTCTTTTTTTTGTATTTTGGCGCGTCTTTAATTTGCATAATGTGTTGCACGACTACCCAAGGCAGGCGGCAATCTGCAGACGCGGTCGGCAGGCGTGCCCAGCAAATCTGCTAAACGTGTTGCCCTTTTAATTTGCGTGCCAACATTTTATAATATTTTCAAATTATGCGCCAAATTACCAGCGGCGCTTACCAGGCTGCGCCACCTTTATGTAGACCAGTCCTTTTTACTTTTCCATTTTCATTTGACATAAACCCCTGGAAAAAAAATATGACGAGGACAACAAAAGTAAGCAAAACAAAAATGTTTAGTTAGACCTTTTGTTATGTTGGTCAATGTGCGCGTGCTTTTAATTGTTTGCTGCTTTAATTGTTGCAAATATTATTTTTATTTCGAGTGTTGACAAGGACGCAATTAGCACTTGAATACTTTATGCGTTGTTCCCATTTCTTTTGCCTGGCATTGTTGTGTTGTTTGGCGTTACTCTGCATGTTGCTTTTGGCCTAATGCCTGAACGCTGATTTTTGTGTGCGACAAACTGTCAACGTCAATATACAGTTAACGACGAGCAACCAAATATTTTGACAATTTAAATGCGTGGAGATAGGCGTGCAGAATGCGATTGCGTCTACTCGTATTCTGGCCAAGTTTGCCAGGCGGCATTTTAACAATTTGTGTCCATACGCACTCATATATGGCGCTCATGCAGCTGAGACCCCCAATCGACAAGCCCCCCTAGTATGTATAGTCGAGTGTCGATGTGGATGTGGGTGTTCGCTTCGCCTGTGTGTATTTCTGGTTATTTTGCCTAAAACTTATTAGACACAAGTGTATCTAGCGCATATGTGCATCGTTCCATGGGCATGTGCCTGTAAATAACTGCGAGCGATGCGTTTTTGGGTTTTGCGTTTACGTGTTTCGGGTCAACTCCATCAGCCGCTAGGCATAGGCCACGGCCATCGCCATCGCCATTTCCGCCACCCATCCACCCAAACATGACTATCGCAACTCGGCTACATATATCAATGGGTAGCCCGCAGCAATTTTTTGGTTTGGTTCGGTTTGGTCTGGTTTTGTCGTTATTTTTGTTGCCTTTGCATTTGTAGGGAAATAATATTTTGTGTGGCCGGGTAGGCGCTGGGCAACACAATTCCTTTGTAATTAGATAACGCTACGAAACAGCAGCATAGCGACCGCAGCTCTTCCGGCTACCGGCTCACCAGCACACGCCAGACCCGGAAAGACTCGACTCGACTCGACCAGCCCAGATGCGATTGCAATGCAGGCAGAAATGGATAGGCGTTGCGCCTAGCTGGACATTTTACTTATATGCCGCCCTCTCATTGAGCATTGCATTTTGCTGTACATTGTCGCTTCACGCAACATGTTGAGAGCATTTTCTGATTATTTTGCAAAATCGAAACGATTACCGTTAATTAGCCCAAAATCCGCACCACTGCCTGCAGTTCATGTTGGCATTTAATCCTTCTGCTTTATGCAATTTGGTCAATTCACATACTGCACAATGAAATGGTTTTTATCTTTCGAACAGGACATTGTCATGGAATTCCTAAAGGACCCCGAAAAGCCACGCATTATTTTTACCATGAACACTGGCGGCCTGCTATATCCAATGTACAATTTTCCGGCCAAGCCTCGGGCCAAAGTAGTGTATTTTATACGCAACAAGACGCCGTCGGAGCTAACGGAGGAAAACATGATGAAAGTTAGTTGAAGATTTATGTTAAAGTCTGATCAGGGAATGAAAATTAATTGCATTTCTTCTCTTTAGTCCCTTATGTATGGCGATCTACTTCCTAATCCGCTGGCCAATCTCTCTGTACTTTGCGATGATGTTTTCTTTCCGCTGCTAAACAATGTAAAAAATCAAAAGGGCTGGACCTCGGTAATTGTAAATGATATGAAGACAGAATCACAGGAAATGCGAAATGGCATTGCTCAGATGAAGGGTCTGGTTATCAATCGAACAATATTTCCATTGCCAATTTGCATAGACGAAGTCATGGAGGCAGCTCCGCGCATTGCCGCCGGGTTCGTGAGTTTTTCGCAGCTTCCTTTTTTTTTACTAAAATATCTCTCTCCAGTGATCTTGTTGTAGTAACGCCGCTAATGAAACATTCACTTGAATTTATGGTCGTGAAATGGCTGGACTCAGTCGAAGATCTTGTAAATGTGAAGCCGGCCGAAAAAATCTACGCCAAGGAGCGATTCCCATTGCCCGAAGCAGTTTTCTCATTCTGGGAGTCACGCCTCGAAAATCTTGAAAACCTAGCCGACCAATTGGGTGACAAACGCATCAAGACGATTGGGTTCGTCCTAGAGAAAATTCACTCTGTTTTCGAGCACTCCTATCGCCGAATTGTGGAGTTGGTGCTGGAGGCCTTGGCTGAGGCACGAGACATAACGAAATGTCTGGCAGCGCTTGTAAGCGGGGTAGCAAATATTCTGTCAAAAATCTATTAAAGCAACATTCTGCAGAAAAAGAAAATTGATAAATTTGAAGCAAATGACATGGATGATAATTTACCGGAAATACGCCCTCTTATGCTAACATTGGGACTAGTCTGGGGTCATTCGCGCTATTTCCATACTCTCAGTAACATGTCCCTTTTTCTCAAACTCTTTCACAACTCAGTCATCGAATGCGTCATGAGGACCATAGAGCCAGACTCGATATTCCAAGGAGATATTGATGAGGCGCACAAGAAAATTGAGATGAATATACAACACTTAGAGCACTACAAGTAAGATGGAAATAAATTACGCATTTAATACTCAATGATGATGCAATTTTCTGTACTCTAGAAAAGTGTACACGGAATGCCGCAATTCGTTAAAGAAATTTAAAATAGGCACCACATTTAACTCACAAGACTGGACCTGGCATCCGGAAAAGATATTTCATCGTCTTGACGCATTTACGGAACGTCTCCATCAACTCAAGGAGCTGTTTAACACTGGACGTGACTTTATTAAGTTGGAGAAAATTATCATTGGAGGTCTAAAAGGACGGCAGATAACATCTGCCTTAGAGAAAATTCTGGAGGAATACAACAACAATTATCGCGAATGGACAAACATACAGTACAATCCGTTAGATCCTGATGCGGAGAACTCCAACTTTGAATCGGATCGCTTGAAGTTTCAAGCCAAAACGGACATATTGGAGCGTATGATTGCGTTTCAGTTTGAAAAGGCTTTGGAGGACTCACATGATTTGCTGCTGGGTGGCCAGTTGCTTATGCGACCCATCATCAAGGCACACATGGATCCCTTCATGCATATCATAGTCGATGATTTTGAAGAGGAGATCGCGGATGTAAAGGTGGACTTTAATGAATTCAAATCCATTTATGTAGAGAAAGGCATGGATGTAAGTCGCCAATACCTAAATGTATGTAGAAACTATACTTTTTAAAACCAACAGGAACTGCCCACGGATGATTGTTTTCCGAAAGTTTCGGGCGCCATTTCATTTCTGAAAAAATTGAGATATAGAATTTCATCTATGCATACGGACACAGAAATGTATGAGTATCCGTAAGTTTATCTCTTTCATTGAATCGCATGCAAATCATTAATATGATCTTCAATTTCAGACTTTTTGACAATGATCACGGGCATACTGTTTTAGAGAACTATCATCAGATGCTGCAAGAAATTGATGGCTTTACTACAGAGATTCTTGAAAAATGGACTGTTGAGTGCTTGGCTGGCATTCAAGAGAGCATGAACTTGACGTTGTTAGCAAAAGATGACAAGGGCGTGCTTTCGGTCAATTTTAGCGACACTCTTAAGGCGGCCCTGAAAGACATCAAGGTCATACGTCTATTGGGCTGTGAAATATCACCACAGCTGTTGGACTTCTTTAGCCTAGAGGAGAAACTTTGGGTAGGTCAACCGTAGAAACTGTCTGACATAATTAAATCCATATTCTATATTACAGCAAGCACGCATTAAGCTCATGCGCATTGCTGAGTGGTACAATGACATAAATACCCGAGCACATGCTACCGAAAAGGCACTGATTGCAGCTGAAATGACAATGATCGAGGAGCACATGGACCCAATTGTAAAACATATAACATGGAACCAATTCAGTAAGTTAATGATGCTCTGTTACATTTCTTAAGAGTATTACTCGTATACTTCTTATACATTCATACATATACAGGTCAGAAGTTCATTGTCATCATTTTTAAAATGATCAAGTATTTGCACGACCGCCTCGTGGCTGCTCAAGAGAATCTAGACGCCATCAGAGAAAGCATAAACTCTTGGGGCAAGGTTCCTCTGTTCCAGCGCAAAGACATGAATACCCAAGCGATGTTGCGCACAGAGCCACGACCTGTGATCTTGCAGGAACGCTCCGATCAGGCTGATATCACGCAACGTCTCATCGATCTGTTAATGTACATTAATCTGAAGCTGTTCTTCGACATACCCCGTCGTTACACCCTGCCACCGGGCGAAGCGGGTGAAGAAGAAGATCAAGGAGATGGCATTTGGCCACCAATTTTGAGTCTAACGACCATGACAACTGTGGAAAAAATTAAAAAGAAACGTCAGTCTGGTGGCGAAGATGAGGAATTTGCGGAAGACGAAGAAGAGCAGTCGGAAAGCGAAGAAGAAGTATTCTAGGAAAAGGAATTTTCTTCACGAGTACTAACTTTTCAAATATTTCAGACAATAACACCACTTCATCGCTACGAGGTACTCAAAGGCGTCTCTGATGAGGAGCGCGAATTGTTTCGCGAATACGAAAAGTATGTTGACACCATTATCGGTGCATGCTTGCTGGACGCTGTTATCACCAGCACCACATACTTACGCATGGAGGTCGATAACCGATATGAAAATAACTCACCTATCTTCCAAATACTAATGGAGCTACAGGAACCAAACGTAGTTTACTTTCTCGGCATAGATCCAACCGCCAAAACGGGCTTTGTTTTCTGGATAGAAGGTCTGATCGACAATATCAACGAAATGACGAGTCTTCTCTATCGCGTTGCTCAAGATCCTCCCGAAATAAATGAGGGTGAAATGGAAAGATTTACCGGTATTGTAGATTCATCAATAACATGTATAGACTAATACCCAATACCATCCGCAGATGAGCTTGAGGACAAGCCAGATCTTGTCAGACAACGCACTGATATACTGAATAAGGTGAAGATGGCACTGCAGGCCATACGGGTGCATGGAAAAGGCTTCATGGAGTATTCCTATCTTTGGCTATGGAATAAAACAAATTACTTGAACGAGGTGAAAAAATACGGACGCGCTCTGACATTGGCTGAACGCGAAGCCGAGACTGAACAAGAGGGCAGCTCTGGTCTTAAGATATTGGGCACCGATGAATACCCACCACTCACTATATATAAAGAGCAATTGGACAAGTTTATTGAGCTACAAGAGCAAATTCGAAAATGGGACCTCTACGAAGACTTCTTTGTTTTTCTCCGATTGAACATGGAGGGCTTCAAAAAGTCGGTACTCAATCAAGTGGGTCAATGGATAAGTTTGTTCAAAATGGATCTTATAAATCGTGTGAAGAATTCGCTTAAGGTTAGACACAAATCTATGCGAAAAAAAAGTTTTCATACAATCTTTCCTTGCAGGAACTGCAAGACTTTGTGGATGAAGCAAACATCGTACTCAAAATGGAGCTGCAAAAAGACGATTTCGAAGGATTGGTTAAAATTCTTTCCGTACTAAACCAAATCAACGAGAAGCAGTATTTGTACGACTCCATGTTTGAGCCTCTTAAGGAAATTGTTGAGCTCCTTAAACAGTATAATTATGAGTTCGACGATAACGAGCTGACTATGCTTAATGAGCTACCAGACGCCTGGCAAAAAGTGAAACGGCAAGCGGCCAGCACCAAGCAACTAATTGCACCCATACAGAGCTACCAAGTCGACTTAATAGAGAAACGCATTATGCTGTGCGATAACATGGCTAGCACTTACCGTAGGAAATTCTTGGCAAAAAAATTCTTTAACGTGCCCTGCCGCAATGTCTACGAGTTAATCGATGAGGCAGATTTGGAGATTTGTGCGCTTGAAGAACGTCAGAAAACTCTCGCTGAGTCGGCTGTCTTGTTCGAGTTACAGGGACCGGATCCAGGAAAAATAGAGCTTTGTCGCAGCGACATCAAGCTAGTCAAGATTATGTGGGACTTTGCTATTACCATTGAGTCAACCATTAATGACTGGAAGAAAACACCCTGGAAGAAAATCGACATTGAGAATATGGATCAGGAGTGCAAGAAATTTGGACGCGAGCTGCGTGGCTTAGACAAAACTATGCGCACATGGGAGCCATTTATTTTTATGGAGGCATCACTCAAGAACTTAATGACATCTTTGCGCGCCGTCACGGAGCTTCAAAATCCCGCGATACGCGATCGTCACTGGGTGGAGCTAATGCAGACCACTCATGTCAAGTTCAACATGGATGACTCGACTACGCTTAAGGATTTGCTAGACCTAAACCTGCACGAATACGAAGAGGAAGTGAAGAACATAGTTGATAAATCCGTAAAGGAAATGGCTATGGAAAAAACGCTGAAAGACATTGCTGCGGTTTGGGCTGTTATGGAATTCGGGACTGAAATACATGAGCGTACGGGGCTGAAATTGCTGAAGGCGTCAGAGGAAATGATCGAAACCCTTGAGGAGCACCAAGTCCAACTGCAGAATATGGCATCGTCCAAGTATATTGGCTACTTTCAGCACGAAGTAACGTCATGGCAGCAAAAACTCTCCAATGCCGATCAAATCATAGGCTCGTGGTTTGAGGTGCAGCGTAAGTGGCAGTATCTTGAAAGCATATTCATTGGCTCTGAGGACATACGATCCCAATTGCCCGAAGACTCTAAGCGTTTCGACTACATTGATCGCGAATTTAAAGCCCTGCTGGCCCAAATGAATGCTGACCGCAATGTTGTGCGGTCAACTAATCGCTCTGGCAGCAAGCTATACGAGCATCTGGAACAGCTGCTTAAAATGCTCATGTTGTGTGAGAAGGCGCTTAATGACTACCTTGAAACGAAGCGCTTGGCCTATCCGCGCTTCTACTTCGTCTCCTCAGCCGATTTACTGGACATCCTATCCAACGGCAACAATCCCGCTATGGTAGCCCGTCACTTGACCAAGCTCTACGATTCAATGGGCAAGCTGAACCTCATTGCTGGAACCAAGCAAGCAGCTGGTATGGTTGCGAAGGAACTGGAGGAATACGTGCCTTTTCTCGACAACTGCGATTGCAGCGGCAAAGTGGAGGTGTGGCTTAATCGCGTTACGGACAAAATGAGGGACACATTGCGCGATCAGCTGAAAAAGTCGCTCTCCACCTACGACCACAAGCCGCGCCACGTATGGATCTTCGAATGGCCGGCACAGCCAGCCCTGGTGGGCACACAAATCATGTGGACGACCGAAACCAACGACGCCTTTGCTAAGGTGCAACAGCGCTATGAGAATGCCCTGAAAGATTACAACAAAAAGCAGGTGACTCAGCTAAACAATCTGATAATGCTGCTTCTGGGAGATTTGACAGCTGCCGAGCGCCAAAAAGTCATGACCGTGTGTACTATCGATGTGCACTCACGCGATGTCGTCAGCAAAATTATATCGGCCAAGGTGGAGAATGCGACAGCTTTTCAATGGCAAAGCCAGCTGCGTCATCGGTGGGATAACAAAATCGATGATTGCTTTGCCAACATTTGTGATGCACAGTTCCGCTACGACTATGAGTATCTGGGCAACACGCCGCGCCTTGTGATTACCCCCCTCACAGATCGTTGCTATATAACATTAACGCAGGTGAGTCCACGCTATTTAATGCTGAACTTCAATAATTAGCTTTCTTCCTTCTCATTTCTTTATATGCGTAAATCCACTTCTGCAATCGCACTTCAATCATCAATAGAGTTTACATTTAGTGATGGGAGGTGCGCCAGCAGGACCAGCAGGTAAACAACTTATGTATCAAATATATTACGAGAAATGTCTACCACTAGTTCAGCTGACTAATATTTTACGCCTTCTGGTTCACAGGTACTGGTAAAACGGAAACCACTAAGGTTGGTTTATCGCAATTTTCAGAAACTTTATCTTTATTTTTAATTTCCGTTCTTTTCAATATTCTCTAATTCTTTTCGTTTTCCCTTTTAGGATTTAGGTCGTGCGCTGGGCATGATGGTGTACGTGTTTAATTGTTCCGAACAAATGGACTACAAGTCTATTGGCAATATACACAAGGGACTGGCACAAACAGGCGCATGGGGCTGCTTCGACGAGTTCAATCGTATATCCGTAGAAGTGTTGTCTGTCGTAGCCGTGCAAGTAAAGTGCATTCAGGACGCCATTAAAGCGAAGAAAACAACGTTCAACTTCCTTGGTGAAATCATCTCGCTACGCCCGACTGTAGGTGTGTTCATCACCATGAATCCTGGCTATGCTGGCCGAGCCGAGCTGCCGGAGAATTTGAAGGCTCTATATCGACCATGCGCCATGGTGGTTCCCGACTTTGCATTGATTAGTGAAATCATGCTGGTAGCCGAGGGTTTCCAGGAAGCGCGTTTGCTGGCCCGAAAATTCATAACATTGTACACACTATGCAAAGAGTTACTTTCCAAACAAGATCACTACGATTGGGGCTTACGCGCAATTAAGTCAGTGCTGGTAGTAGCTGGCGCCTTGAGGGTAAGTGTTAATTATAGCCGCAGATGTTGTTATCACTGACTTAAGAGGTCTCTTACGCTTACGAGTATATATGATTAGCAGATTATATGTCTTTTTTTTGTGAATCCAAGAAATGGGTTATTCAAACTGTCGCGCACTCTAGTTCCTCAAAGCTCTTCTATCCAAACTAAGCCAACTGTTTTGTTGCATTAAAGTTTAACCAATTGAGTAACATGGCGCTTCTGTTAACATGTAGCATTTTAATAATTTAGAATATGGCCTAATTCGACTGAAATTGGTGGACTACTTGTATATAGAAAAACTAACAATTATTATCTATTGCACCTAAAGTACTTCATTTTGAAGGTGTTTTTTTAAATATTCCAGCTTATATATTGGTAATATACTTATATTGACTCACATCATTTTTATATTGTGCATACGTTTCTTCATACACTCTATTTTTATAGCCGATATACATATAGAATGCTGAAACTGAAATGCGGTTTTGCATTGACAACAATATATACCACAAATGAGGAAATCTGATTGCTCATCATGCCGGCACTTCTGTGTCAAATATAGTAGTACTCCAGTATTGCTTTATTTAATGGAACTTTCTATTTGTTAGCATATGCTCTCCTTCTATAATATGGCTTACAAGCATTTTATTACTTGTAGAGTCTAGTTGAGAGCATATTTAAAATACGCCCCGCACAACAATTGAACAAAGAGAATTAGTTAATAAATCACTTTAAAAAATGGTTCCTCCAATCGGACTTCTTTATCATTAAGCTGCAACGATACAGTTGTGTGTAATTAAAAACTAGAGTGCATTTGCATTTATAACGAATGAACCGCATGTGGAACGCACGCGCACTTGTCTTTCAATTACATTATTCACTTTTCAGCTTTGTTCTGCATGTTGCTGAAATAGTATACTACTCGTATGTCCTTGTGTTGAACATCCACAACAGGCAGCGCCAAATTGACCTGCCATAAGATTTAATGTGCTCTTATGCAACTGAACTTAATATTTCACGTACATGTTACCTCTGGGTTTAAAGGTCGTAATTTTCTCATTCGCACAACCCAGTCTAATATCGTCTCACCCGCTCTGGCAACGTCCGGTCGTCCATTCGTCCGTTTCTGGCCAAAACGCGACATGCTCGAAACTTCTTGCAATGGCCACCTAAGGCATTGCACGAATGTTTTACTGACTCAAAGTTTGTCTCAATTACGTGCGTGGCAGCTTCTCTGGCGCGTGAACGACGACGACGACGACGAAGACGACTACGACGGCTACGATTAGCCCACTTGGAGAAGACACAGAGGCGGTATAGGGCTAAATATTAAAACTATACCACATTGCTCACGATGCCAATGCCGATGCCGCTGTCGCTTTCGCTGCCGCTTCCGCAGTTTCCATCCCTCGTTTGTCATTGGCAACTTTTTAATTAAAAGTTTCATTCGAGTAATGGGATATTTGCACTACGAAATGCGGATGCGTGCGACGCAGGGCGAGACGGGATGCGACGGGTATACTGGGGATGGACTGGAACTGTACGTTCGTTTGCAATTTTTGTGGGTGCCCCTGTAATCTGCGTCGCTGCCTTTGCCGCGCAACTTTGTCCTGATTATTGGCTGCAAGTATCTAATTGCCGAACGGATTTGCAAAAACTTGAGCCTTACACAACGCTGTGCTGACCTCCATTTTTTATTATACAACAACAACAACAACAACTAGCAGTAAAACTTTGCCCAAGTCGATGCAACTCCTTAGCCACGTAACGTGCGCCAAGTTAATGAGCTGCAAACGTCACGTGCAAAATTAAGCTGGATGTGTTTTAATTAAGACAACCTGTATTGAGCGGAGCAGGATTGGTGGGAGGATAATAATACGCGACAAAGTTTTGTGGATGAATGAACAACGTCGATAGCTCGACTGCTTTATTTATATATAAATTCTTATCCTAGTTCTTATGCTATCGCCTACATACTATCATCGATTCCTTATCTTCTACCATGTGTGCGTACTTTATCAGGTAGCTCATGTTAGCCAGCCGCAGCATGCTCATCCAGCGCGGTGGCGAGCCTGAGCTAATGATTTGTGTACTTACACATCCTTATCTATTAAGCTGGCGCCTGCCAGCTACGAAAATGTTGGTGCTATGTTCGGCATCTAAGGCCGAACTCATTATTATCTGTATAAGAGAGCATGTCTGTTTATCGAGGTTTTATCTATAACAATATGATAATGTACCCTTCGTGGTCTAGACAGAGCAAATCTAGCTTATCAATTAATTTACATTTACTTAGGATCTCGTTAGAATTGAACATGCTCCCCACCTTGAAAGGACTCCCTTTCAACTAGTATTGTTTCTTAAGTTTAATTTTAATTATACACGATTACATATATTTTCTTAGTTTTTAGGATAAACGTGGTAAGGCAAATGTTACGGGTAGAAATTGGGTAGAAAGTTGGCACATCTTTTTAAAGATGATAACGATCGCCACGATGAGACAAAATCCGACAATCCAGGAGGTGATGCTGATACCGTAAAGTGCCATTTGATGCGTATCGAGATGAATCGGGAAATCGAAGATTGTTTTGATCCTTGGGATATCGCGTACCTTATATGTTTTGATTTCACCCTCTACCTGCATATGGCTTATTTCAGGCAAATGGCTGGACAGATTTACTGTTGGTAGACGGAAGTTAACATCCGTAGTAGTATCCTCGTATGCCCACAAGTTGGCTTCTTCAGTTTGTAGGAAGCATCCTGTATTAAGTTGAAGGATCCCTTGACCAAATATGGTGAGGCTTGTGATATTTTCCTTGCAATGCATTTCCGCTGTTATTTTATTTGGCAGTGAAAATATCCAGGAGTTAGCCTTGTGAAGTTGAGCCCAATAATTTCGCGGGTTCATCACGTTTACCTGGCAGGTAGGCGGTAGCGTTTTTGTTTTTTGTAAAAGTAATATGTCGCAATTTGTAGCAGCGTTAACGTTGTATATTGGGTGGATTTGCGGACATAATAGCAGCCTTTCCATCTTTTGGCAGTAATTCAGATTTCCTTCTGTTAGTCCATAGAAACTGGCTGAGTTGTCATCGACGAGTATTTGAGTAAATTCGGGCTGAATACTGACGAATTTTCCATCGTGTAATGTGGGATATGGATAGATTACATAAGCTCTCATTTTATTGTGATTTATTAATGGGATTCTTATGTTAAATAACAGTGAGGTACTTGTAGCCCTCGTCGTTATTTTTGCAATTTTACCCAGCTCGACGGGATCCGTATCTGGTAATTGGACGCCCTCAGGCATATTTAGAGCCATGACTTGAATCTGCTGCTCAAATTGCTTCAACGGCATCAAGCTCCCCAGAAAATTCCCCTTAGTGTTCCAGACTACTGCGATGATGTCCCGCTGCAACTCTTCGAAGGCATCCATTCCAATTGAAAAGCTTTCTAATGCGGAAAGAATGTTATCGTTGTCTAGTTTCTTATTTATAGCACTTGACAACGTATACATCGTGTTGTTAATAACTTTGAAATTGTCCCAAATGACTTCATTCTGTTTCCGCATAATGGTTATTGTAGAATCCTGCACTGATGACTGGTTACGAATTAGGTCCCGGAGATACTCCTCGTTGTCTCTGCTCTGGTTGATTTTGTTGAGCAATACGTCCGCATGGTCTTCATCCATTAATCCAAATACGGCGTGGAAAACGTTGCCCATGAAACTGAGCGGCGCTCGAGGTTGTCGTTCTTTCTTGCTCCTCTGATTTTGAACAATAATGTCATTATTTTGTTCTAGCCTATTGAATTTGTTTTCTAACAGCTTCATCGTTGAGTCTAGAGTTGTGTCTTTTTGAATCTTCTCCTTAAGATGTAGTAATACGGACCAAGATGCTTCTATTCGATGCTTAAATGCCCAATACTCATCCAGATCTGCGTGAATAATTATATTCCATGATGTCCGCGTTAATCCCACGTCGCCAACGTTCTCAAAAAATATCCCTGCCTTATTTTCTAAATATTCTATTTTTTGACTCTTAACATTGTTAAATATCGACAAAAATGTTAAAATATATAAAATTACATTCTTATTTTTTAACTTTACAGGCTTGGGTTTATACTGTTCATTTTCATAACTATTTTGTATTTTATTTGGGTTACTTGTTTGTATTGCGGTTGTAACTACCGCAGTTGACGAGTTATCCTCGTCTTCGGCAGGAAAAGGACAAACATTGTGCACCGACCTCAGCGATATTCCATTGCTTGTCCTTACTTCTACCATTCTACAAAGGCCATCTTTACCTACAATGGTCTTTGTGACCCTGCCCCTCTTCCAATGCATTTGGGCCAGATTTTCTTCCTTTAATAATACAAGGGTTCCCGGTTTTAAATTTGGCATTACTTTATCCCACTTGTAACGCTTTTGCAATTCGGACAGATATTCTAACGACCACCTTTTCCAAAACTGTTCTTTGTTTTCTTGAACTGCCTTCCAGTGGTCTCGCAACCCTTTATAACTTTTACTGTCTACTGAGTCTACTATTGTAGAAAAAGACTCTCCCAATATAAAATGTCCTGGGGTTAGAACCTGAAGATCATTTGGATCTTCTGACAGCGGAGTTAATGGTCTTGAATTTAGTATCGCTTCTATTTCTATCATTAGTGTGGTCATTTCGTCAAAGGTCATTATTCCTTCTATAGAACGCGTAAAATGTTTTTTAACGGACTTCACGCATGCTTCCCAGAGTCCCCCAATGTGGGGAGATTTAGCAGGAATATTTACCCATTCAATTTGCCGCTCCACACAAAACTTGTCTATTGTATCTATCTGAATTTGGTCTTTGAATAATTTATATATTTCATTCAGACTATTTGCTGCGCCTATAAAATTCGTTCCATTATCGCAGTAAATTTTTTGTGGACAGCTCCTTCTACCTACAAATCTTTTCAGAGCCCCTATGAAGGCTGCAGAAGTCATATCTGACACAACTTCTAAAT